ATATATTTTATATAAAAATATTATATTATATAAAATATAAGAACTATTTATAAAAGAATTACTTATTAATTTTTTATAGAAGAAAGAGAAGAAAAAATAAAAAATAATTATATATAATAATAATAATAATAATAAATATTTTTATTTTAATTTTATAAAAGAGCCATGTTAGAATAATATTATAAAAATAAGAAAATATATTATAAAAAATAAATAATTATTTAATTATTATAGATATAAAAGGAGTAAGCTATATATAAATATTTTTTATAAAAAAAAGAAAAAGCCGGAAAAAATTATAAAAAAAATTTAATTCTAAATAAAAAAAAATTTATATAAAATTTTATTAGAAATTTTAAGTTCTGAGTCTTGATTTATATTTTAAAATAGATTTATTATTAATTATATATATTATATAAATTTAAAATAAATCCTGTGAGGAGCCTAAGACTTTTTAATATTAAAATTTTATATATAATAAAATAATATTTTATATACCTCACGAGGAGATTTTATAAATAAAAATTTATAGAAAAATATTTGTAAAGAAAATAACTTATAAAAAGACTATAAAAACAGATAATTTATATAAAATATAATAATAATATATTATAGAAAGACCTTATAAAAATATTATAAAAAATAATATAAAAACCCTTGCAAAGCCTCTGTAAATTAATAAAAATAAATAATTTTTTTATATAATTCTTTCTATAAAGATTTATATACAGGGATTTTAATAGTATTTTATTTTTTATAATTATTATTAAATATTACTAGCTACTGTAAAATAAATTAATATTAAAATAATTATTATAATTATTATTAATATTTATAGTCTTAGGGACCAAGGCCTTGCAGAAAAAAATAATTATAAAAATTTAAAATTCTTATAATTCTTATAATATTTATTATCGCGAGGAATATCTATACTGATAATAATTTTAGTATAAGGCTTAGTTAATATTTATTATATAATGTATAAGCTATCTATAAATATCTTATTATTTACAGGCAGAGATAGAATAGTCAGTAATAATACTTTAAGAAAATTGATCCTATATTTTATATTTGTGAATAAGACATACCCTTCATACTATCTTATTATATTCACCCTTATATCTACTTATTAAATTAATTATTAATATTTAAATTTTAATATTAATTAATATATTTCTGTTCTTTTTAGTCCATAGATATAAGTTATTGTTATTTAATCTTATTAAAAATTAATTTATTCTATATAATAAAACTTTCTGGAATCCAGTACAAGTCAGAAAATATAATATTTATATTATTAAAGAAGCTAGTAACTAGATCAAAATATTATTAATATTTATTTAATAAAAAATAAATAAATAAAGAAATAAATTATTAATTTCTATTTTAATATACCAGATTAAAGATATGATCTAGCTAAATCTAAGAAATATTAATATTAATTAAACTAAATAAGAAACTGAATTTAAAAATACTAAATATTAAATTATTAAAATATTATAAATTTATTTTATCTGTCTTGATATATCTACTGGAATTTATAATATATTTTATATAAATTTATTATAATTAGTAACTATAGATTAATTTCTGTTTTAGTAAAAAAATAATTAATAATATTCAGCTATTTATATTAACAGAGAAAAAATATGTAGTAGAAATTATTTTTTAAAAAAAAACTTAGTAACTGAAAAACTAAAAATAGAGATTTTATTATTAGAATAAATTAATAAATTATATATAAAGTATTTAAAAGTTAATTAGAATATTTTAAAATATTATTATTGTTTATATATAAAAGAGTTTTTAGGAAGAACTATAATTAAAACTAATATATTTTTATTAAAATTAAAAAAGATTTTTATTTAATTAAAATATAAAAAGAAATAGAATAAAATTATTCTAGTATTATTTTATTCCTGATATAGGCAAAGCACAGTAAAATAAAAAAATTATATAACCAGTTATTAATATTCCGAAGGATTATAATAAATTATTTTAGATATTTATCTAATTAAAAAGCAGCATAGTCTAATATGTCTAGAATTAGAAATATTTATCATTTAAAAAATAATATAGAGATTCTTAATATTATTATTAATATTAAAAATAATTTAAGAATTTACAGCACTATCACCGGGGTTTAAAAAAAGAATTATAGTTAAATAAAATTATATTAATATCAGATATTATATAACTAATAAATTATATTTATATTTTATTATTTTTTAAGCATTTTCTTTATCTATTTTAATAAATATTAAATAAATTTGATAAAGCCAGGAGCTATTAGAGCAGGAGTAATATAATTTTTTTTACTATAAAATTTTTATTAAAGATTATTATAAAGTTTATAAGATTTTTTACAATTATTATTTTAATTTGGTTAAGATTAGTTTCTTTAAAAAATAAGTATTTTTTAATATTTAATATATATTAATAAATAAATCAGCGGACATGGCAGTAACAGTATAAAAAATTAAATATAAAATAAATAAATAAAAAATGATATAGAATAAGTAAAATAATAATAAACAGGTGGGTACAGAAGGAAATAAATAAGAAATATTAATTTAATAATATTAGTTAAAAAACGAGAAAAGAGAGAAGAATTATATTAAAAAAACTTTTTTTATATTTTATAAAAAAATTACTAAGGAGAGTGAATATAATTTGAGAAAAAAAATAAAAAAATAAAGAAAATATTATTCTTATTTATCTAGTGTAAGTAAGACAAAACTGCAGGTCCTAAAAAAATAGAAAAAAGTATTTTTTATTTTATTAAACTCAAATAAAAAGAACCCGCGAGTAATATAACTATATTAAAAAATAAGATAAGATAAAAAAAGGAAATAAAATAGATTAAAATATTAATATAAATAAAATTTATATATTATAAGATATTAGAGTTAATCACAGAAATATAAAAAGAAAATAAAGTATAAAAAATTATTTTTTATATTTCTATTAAGTATGAATATTAGTAAGTCTATATTTTTATATATATTAATCTTTAATTTAGACTAATCCAGTATCTGGTTAAGATGTAAGATACTTTTATTTATTAATAGAAAAAGAAGAAAATTTTCTCAATAAAATCTAGACTGGTTATATGACCAGGAGGTTAATATAAAATAAATTTATATAAAAAAATAAGATTTTAATTAAAATAATAATAAAGATTATATTAAGTAAATAATAAAAAAAAGTTATAGAGAAGGGGAATGGATTTTCTATAAAAATTATATATATATATGTATTTAAAATAAAAAAATAAACAGAGTATAATATTTAGAGAATTATAAATAAAAAATAAAAAAACTAAAAATTATAATAATAATAAAAATATAAATAAAGAAGCTGTAAGAATAAGGATAAAATATAAAATTTTAATAAAATAAATTAATTAAAAATCTCAATTCTAAGATTTTTAAATTTATAAGTATACTGGTATTCTGATCTAATCCTATACTAGAAAAAAAGATAATATTATAAAATAAATCTTTATTAGAGAATTTAGTTATTTAGTCTTATTACTGCCTGTTAATTAATTATTATATATAAAATCTTAGAGACTGGAGGTCTCTGTTTAAATATTAGTTATATTTTTGTCTAACAGGTGATGTACTCTTGGAACCAAGAAGTGACTTCTAACAGTATTCATTCAAAAGACGCCTCAAAAAAGTAATATATAAGAAATCTTTTTCTTTATCTTTTATTATTAAGACTTTACTGATATAAATATAATTAAATATTAATAAAACTATACAGAAATAATTTATAATCTTAATTTTATAATATATTTTATAAATCTTTTATTTTTTATTATCGGGTTCCTGCTATTCTAAATTAAAATATATAAAACTATTTCTAGTATTTAAATTAAATAACTTGACCCAGTAGAAGAGTAGTCATTTATAATAAAATAATTTAATTATCAAAAGTAAAATAATCAGAATAATATATGATAATAATAATAATTATAAATCATTATTAGTAACCTTATATTTTCTAGTATTTATAAGATACTAATCTTTTTGCAAGGATTTTTAATTATCTAAGATTTATTTTTTTTCATTAATATATATTATTATTACTATTAAAAAATGTATCTACAGTATTTAGTAGTCTATTTCATACTTAGCTGACAGGTTTTCTACTCTAACAAGTAGATCCTATCACACTCTAGAAGATTATAAGCTATTATATTTTTTCAAGAACTTAATTATATAATTAAGAATATTGAGGAAATTAATTTCTACCAATATATTATTTTTTAATTTTTTGGTTGACAAATTATCTTAATTTCAATATTAATTAAATTAGAAAAATATATATTTTCTATTTAACTCCATACAAAAAATCCGAAGAAAATTAAAGAATTTTGTATTTTTTTTTTAAAAAAATCACTACAACATGAAATTCAATATTATAAAAAACTTTATATGTTAAATATATTAGAAATATGTATATATTTTATTAAAAAATAAAAAATTAAATTTCTATATGAAGATTTAATAATATTTGCTTCGAAAGATTTACAATTAGATTTGAAAATATTAAGATGACTAATTAATTAGTAATATATATATTTTTGAATAAATATTGGAGAGATAATAATTATTTATATATATTTTGAATTACAAAACTATATCTCTATAATTGAGAGAGTTAATGTTATTAAAGATTTGAGGATTCTTGAATGTTCTGAGACTTTTGAGCACCTATTGTACATTATCTATCCTCTAAGAAAGAATTTAGATCATAGGATAATTACTTAATTGCTATACTAATAAAACACCAGCACAATAGTATGTAGCCAGTTATCAGATTAGCAGATTACACATACATACACTGTACACGCAGAACTAAGCATTGATTTGCTAGTCTAAATTGTGACACTGTCGGAGCTGAGCTACCCCTATTCGCACATGACTGGTAGGATTACTCAGCTAGGTATGTGGTCGACTTTCCAGCACATACGGAGTGTTTTGGTACAACGTGGCCTTTTGTAAAGCTAATAACCACCTACAGCTGTGACATGTACTTCTGGAGTCGCTAAGAATTGTCTTGTTACTTTCTATGTGTCTATAGTACCATCGAGTTCACTACTTCCTTTACAGGCATAGTAGTCCTATATCATTTGGTTTCGTTTACACAACGCAGACAGTCATGGTAGTTCATTTAGCCCCGATCGCCTCGAAACGTTGAGCTACAATATATTGACTGAATACCTAGGCTCAAACACCCCAGCAAAGGAAGGCCAACGAAAGGTTCGCGAAGCAGGAATCTGCAAAGCGTGGTAAAGGCAAGACAGTTGTCAAGTCAAAGCAGACTCCAAGGTCGCCTGTGTCCACTGTGTGGGTGGGTATGTTGCGAACTGCTTTACGGCCACCTCAGTCACCAAGGCTAACTTTAGGACAGCCGTTCTCGCGTTCGTTGTCTGTGGAGGAATCTTCCTTGAAGTTCTAGGGATCGTACCGAAGCTTTGGTCCACCGTGGTCGCAAGCATCAGCCGCTTAATGCTCTGAAACCATGAAAGCTTGTAAAGACGATTAAAGTTGCTTTCAAGAACAGCGGCGGCGATAATAGTGATGCACCTAACTGATATCCCGAGTCTCTTGTTTTGCGCGTTCGGTTTTGCGTGCTACCGACGTTTTGGTATCTTATTATTTGTCATGCCGTGAAAAGCGCAGGTCGCATGTGCGGAACTTCGATTAGACAGTACTATGGTGACTACCTGAATTTATTCCTCTTAATTTCAAGTTATATTGATTGACAGTCATCCTCAAGAAGATGTCACCACCCTTTGGTTCTTCGGCCTCTTCTTCTTCGGCTTGCGCTGACTATTTCCATCTACAACTGGTTCATGCTCCTGTCCACTATCCCGAGAAACAGGGACCGTAGTCTTCTTTACCCGTTTCTTCTTTTTGACCAATGTTCCCTCGGAGGGAACCCCTGTTGGATGGACGCGCTCTGACTCCCTTTGCAATTCCAGTCGGAACCTTTCCACTTGCTGCATTGCCTTGGCCATTTCCGCATCATCTTCGGCCCTTGGGGCGCTTCGCGTGTATCCTGAGGATACCCCCTCCTCCCCTAAAGTGAGGCGCTGTAAACCGCTCGAATCCACTAAAAGCGGTGATCGATTTAATTTGCTAAGGGAGTTAGTGTCTTTGACACCAAGCTCCTCTTCGTGTCCGATCATCTCATCCGGGATTACATGGTATCTTCTAAGTCGTGATCCGGCCGTGGACTGGGTCTCTTCAGGCGGGGGAGAAGACATGTGATCGCTGTGTCGTTCTCTCGTTTCACTCAATTTGAGATCAATGATAGGAATGGCGTCGATGTTTAGCTCGCCTTCGTCCGAGATCTGCAATTGGGGGCGGGAGGGCTCAGATATAGCGGCCCACGCATCTTCGGTTCCAATATAAAATGGGTCATCTCGAGTGCGCTCTTTTCGGTAGTGTTTCCGCCTTACGAGGGCAGCCTGATCCTCAACCTGATCCAGTCCGGGGGTCGCAAACGGCATCAGTTGCAAATCATCTGATGTGTTGTCCATGCCCTGCTTATCCGGGACAAATGTCTCTCGACTATAATAATATTCATGGAATGGCAGTTTACTCTCTTTCTCGTGAGAATTTCCATGTTCATGACTGAAGAGCACCCAAAGATCTTCATTAAATGTCTGGTGTAACTGCAGCTCGTCTGGCGATTGAACTTTCTTCTGGGCATTAACAGAGACCGGGTTTAGCTCGAGGCCATCGAAAAGACCAGGAATCACCGAAGATAGCAAAAATGGGGTATCGTGGGTATCTAGACTCGTTGAGTGTGCGGCGTCAGCTGCTAATCGCATAATCTCTAGAAACTCGATGGCCCTTTCCTGCACATTCAAATCTGGATGTGCCCCCAGGGCTTCCAAGAAGTCGATGATTCGGGCCAGATTGAGTGCAACCTCGCTCCTTTTGCTCGAGCTCCAGTCTCGACCACCGCTGCAAACGATTTGGGTGAATATCTTGGGTATAGCTTGGACGTAGAGGGAAAGAGTTTTTGCTGGCAATGAAACGTTGGACACGTCTATTAACGAGTAAAGAGTCTGTCTAGGCGACGAGAGGTATTGAGCATACTCCCCAACGACCCATGCAAGGGGGCCTAGAGCACTATTGTTCGACATTGGTACTCCAGAGAACAGGGTCTGCCTGTTGTCAATAAGAATTAGAGACTCCGCAGCCCTAGTCGCTTCCATTCGAACATCTCGAACACGGACAGCAATATTCCGTATCTCTGAGCCGATTCGGTCCGTTATGTTGCTCTGAGACAAAGTTTCTTGCTCATTATGTGTAGCATTCGTCATAAAGGTATCCTCGCTGTCTGCCGGGAGAAGGGTTACCAGCCGTATCAGCACGTCCACATACCATTCGAAGTCTGTCAGGTTTGAGTAATTGTCAAAGGAGCATATATCTAAAATGCGATGTATGACTTGAACCCTGTATTCTGGCGGCAATATAAGTGGCGCCTTATTCGTCCATTCACTTCGCTGCTTATCATTCTCCCATTCGGGGTATCCATCCCCAGGTTCAAGGTGGCTTCCCTTCTTGAGTGGCCGGGAATCCATAAGCTGGGAAACCAGCCGACCAACGATTGACTGTAGGCTATCACTCGTGACCATTCTTGCTGCAAGCTCAAGTGCTTGGAGACGGATGGATATATCGGCATCATCTAAGCAATGCATTATCACATCCTGTTGCAATGACACTAGGCCTGGATATGTGAGCACGATCTTGTTGAAGGCCAGGAGCGCCACATATTTGACTTGTGCTTCTCTATTAGCCTCTCCTCTGGTTCAATTATTCTCATGTTTGTGTTTTAGAAGGAGCGCTCACGGTTTGGATCCGAGTCAGAAACTACCATGCCCCGAAGTTTGCCAACACACAGACTTGCAATTTCATCCTTTTCTTCGATCCCCGCATCGAAGTCAAGTATACCACCCTGAATCAGACCGTTGATGCACTCATAGAGTAATGACATGGCCGTGGTCGTTTGGATTATGTTCACCAATGGACGGTGCAGCTTTCGTATCAATCGCGGTTCGAGAGGCGTCAAAGTCGCAAACTATGACTGTTAGGAACGTGATATGATCTGAGCATGGGGACCAACGTACGAGCTTTATTATCTTGATGGCCATCCAATTATTACCTCCATCTACCAGCAGCTCAAAGAATCTTGGAGCAAGTGGCAGAAAATCATGAGGTCTCCGCCACCCTAATTCACATACAACGTTGAGCACAGCCGTAGTCACACTGATGTCCTCCTGGTCATCCATGAGCCTCTCCTTGAGCTTAGGCCATGCTAGTTTGAGTGCATCAGGGTAAGCTAAAGCCAGTCTATAGAGACATATGATAGCCTTCTTCCGCACCACAGAATGTGAGTGAGAGATTCGAGATAAGACGTCTGGAAGTAAAGACATTGAGAGGGATGTCGTTGCGATGTTTGGCAGTGTGATCAGTGGAAGGGACATATTCGGTATACTGTGAGACACGAGATCCTATAATATGCTAGTCAGCGGAAAGCTACCACTTCATTGAATGGGAGTCTATGACCTTTTTTAGAAGGTTTGTTGCAAGCATCAGCACCTCTGTATCTGGTCTGAAACTCTGGACTGCTCCGAGGTACCCAGCGCGTTTCTGTAGATACTTCGCGGACGACATGACCTCCAGAACATGGAACGATGCCCACGACATGTCATAACCAAACATCTCCAAGTATATTAGTTTCAGGAGTGCCGTGGCCTTTTTGTCTACCAGGAGTAAGTTTTTGCAAGCCGAGCTGAATGAATTCGTACGCACGTACCCATATCCTGTGATCTGATTTCGGTCTTGCATTCTCGCAAACTATCTTGTATATATTCTTCCTCTGTTCCTTTGTGGTGTCGGAGACCCTTTATAAGATCATAGAGTGATTTTTCAAACCTGGTTTGACCCGGATTAGCATTTAACAAGGATATCAGAGTAATGGGCGCTGACATTGTGCCTGGGCTGATACTGGCGCGCAAACCCCACTGGCATTTGGTAAGCCTTGTTAATGTTGGTTGGATTGATTCTATTAGTACCTGCAGACGTTGGGTTACGTATCTGGTATGAGACACTGGGCATGCGAGGTAGGCGCAGTCACATAAGTAGCTCACGCCATACAGTTTTAAGTACAGACTACGGAGTACTACTCGCGTATCTGCGGAGTAGCTAGTTATCTAATACCTATACCGGGCAGTCGGCGGGTAACATCCCTTCTTGCCCAAGTTGGTTAGTTAGTCAATTAACTGATAATCAACCAATTAAAATGTAGTTTCTAATGCTCAGCTAGTACCCGCGTGTGTCAGCCACCCATGTAACGCCATACAAAAGACAATCTTTCTTATATTAAGCTATATCCATCACAAGATCGTCATAGTAATTGAGATAAAGTACTCCGTGTATATCTTATATATATTATGGCCAATTGCTAGTATATTTATGAATTTCGAATCATGCAGAATATGGTAAGCATAAAATCTAAACATTTAAGCTTCTATAAATAGTATTAATCAATTGTAGATGAAGGACTCTAAAAAAGCTCTATAAGTTACTACAGAGACTAAATGTATCTTTTCGGTATTTCATATTCAAATGGCTTCTACAATTACTGATCTATCTATATCTTATGAAATGACTCTTTTATAGTAAGTACTACAAGGGAGGATGAGAACCACTTACGTACCGTACGTACGTTAACTACATTCTAATTAACTAGATACGGCAGACTGGCAGCTGACTAACAGTGTTACTTAGATCCTATTGGTTTGTTGGGCCATCCATGTACTAAGCAGCCTAACTACTAAGTACTAGTCACGGGAGCTACCAGCATAAAGAAAGCGATACCTTGGTTGATTGATAATGTTGGACAACATGAATACTACCACCTGGCAGCATTGTCGAATCAAATCATTCCCATTCCTGGCTAGCACATCAACAGATATCGGCTCGGATATTCGCATTCTATCCTGATCCAAATATCCTCCTCTCAAAAAAACAAGATCAGAAACTGTCACTGTGGAACGTCGTGGTACCTCTAATACAGTCCTAGCTACTTCATCACCGGCTCCATAACATGCAGACGACTCCTGAGCCCCATCTCGCGAATGGTTCGAATTTAATAACCACTTTTCATCTGGCACAGAAGGCACCTCTCATACTTAAGCGTCAGTCTTCCAGTGTGGAAACGGTCGCACCCTCATCGGTACGAGGGATTGAGAACTATGGTGTAGTAGAGCAACTATTGTTTTCATGCCTACAGTCGGGGGACGACAAATCTGCGCTACTTTGTACTGAGCAACTAGCAGCTCGATTTGGCATGACTGATGAGAGAATAATTGGATTGAGGGGCATGTATGAAGAAGCGGTCGCTGAGAATCCTACCAGACTTGAAGAATGCTTGCAAACATATGACCTCGCGCTTTCCGAAAACCCCGTAAACTTGGTCCGTCCTTCCTGCCACTCAACAGACTCGATGCTAATCTACAAGGAAGCCCGTACTAAAGCGTCGGATCGCGCTCCTACGCTCGCTGTCCAGGCCTGTGGATGCCATTTCTAGTCTCATCAACCTCCTAGACGCAGTCCCAACAGATGCGGAGGCTTGGTGCGAACTTGCAGATCTCTACCACTCTCAGGGGATGAGCTCACAGGCAGCTTTCTGTCTTGAGGAGGCTTTATTAATTGTGCCAAATTCTTGGAATGTATGAATATA